AGTCCCAAGACCCTGATGTATGATGTTTTGGGGCATCAGATGGTGAAGTAGGACAGTTTTGGGTGCCAGGGACTATGTATAACTCTCAGCAGGGTTCATCCAGTTTTTAGTAGGATGAGGAGGATTCTGAACTAGTGCTAGAGTGGGAAAGTTTATGCAAAGTTTCCAAGATAGCACCTGACAGTGCTTCCAACTGGGTATTGTCCCAAAAACCTTTCCTCTCTCAGGCTGATGTTATGAGGAAATAGGTTTCCTTCACTTATGATTCAGGTGCTTCTCAGGCCAGTGTTACAGGGCTGGGGCCTTGGGTGAAGAAGTCTTTGCATGTGCTCTAAAAAGGCAGGTTCTCTGTGCCTGCTGTCTTTCTTTGATTATACTGAATGTTTCTGCCACAGTCTGAATGTTTCTGCCACAGTCTCAATCAGAGGACTCTAGGGGCGCCTTTCTGCTATGTAGGATTGAAAAGAATGGAGTTCCTGAGGCAGGACCCCAGCCTCCCCTGCTTCTCAGAGAAAAGTTTGCTCCTTCTGAATCCTCTTAAACATGAATCTCTCCCTAGGTGAAAGCTTCTCTTTTTTTCTACCCATTCGGTGCTGTCCTTTATCCTTTGTTTTGGGATCTCTGTTGTTTTTTTCCTGGGTGTATGGGCTCAGTCCTTGTAAATTATTTCATTTATAATTGTGTACAAGTTTTCCTTTCACTGGTTTCTAAGTTCAGTACTTGTCCTTTATTTCAGGTAGAAATATATCTTGTTCTTCAGCCTGCCTATTTCAGGCCAACTATGAAGTTATAGACACCACAGGGTCAATGCAAATATGCACAAATGTAGTAGTAAGAAAAAACAGCCTGAAGATAGAAGGTGATCTAGGTTTTACCTGGGACCTTGAGACACTCACTCACTGGCCCAGATGTGACAAAAGGAAGCCAAGCAATCAGAGAAGGTACCAGTTCTGGCCCTACTCCAAGCTAAGGTCCAGCCAACAGCCAGCCAACATCAACTGACCAGACCTTTGAGATCTGCTTATTACAACGAGAACCATTACTGCTGCAGATTGGTGAACAAGACAAATGTCATCACTTTAAGCAACTATTACATTTTGATGCAGTTAGTCACATACACAATTGCAATAGACCACTGCAGTAACCCCCTGGGTAGCACTAGTAAACCCCCACATTCCCACCAGACCCATACACAGCCCTGTATCCGTATAGTCACTGACACGTGGGCTTCAGACACCTTCCTTGTGTGATCTGTGAGGCCCCATCATTCATGCCCTGCTGCACACACGTAATTTGAGAATCGTTCCTTGTGGTTCTCTAGGGAATAATAATGTTGTTTTGTTCCACCTATGCTCATCTAAATCCTGTCCAGTCATCAAGTTCCAGCATTTAGGCCATGCAATGAACATCTGTTGTCTTGTTTTTCCATATCCAACAGCACTGGTCTGGTGCCAGCAGCCTGATTTTCCTTTGGAGCAACCAGAGGTTTCAGGTGCAGTAGACTAGAGCTTCCAGTCCAGGGTGGGCGAGGGTCCAGGCTTAGTCTATTGGCCTAGTCCTTCTTCCTAGCCAGTGTGATTAGTCCAAGAGTGAGTGCATGCCCTGAGTTGGCCCATTGAGACTGAATCCTGGGCTTAGTCCAGAATGATCTTTCAGTAGTGACTGCTAAACCATGAGGCTGTTAGCCCAAGGCTGCCAGTGGCCAAAACAGAGTGAAAACTTCTGTGAGAATGAAGCCAACCCAGACAAAAGCAGAGCCAAGTGTCACATCTCTCAGAGCATCATCAGAACATCTGGCTTCAGCCATGCCTAAAGATCGCTCCTCCCTCCACCTACAACTTTTGAGTCTGTTCAGCCAAATAATTCTCTTTTTTGGTTGAAAGCCTTATTAGTTACCTAGTGAAAGAAATCTAACTCAGTGTGACTAGGACATGCCATATCTTCCTAATCAATGTGGCACACCTGAGTATTTATTTCCAGTGTGATCATGTTCTTGGAGTTGAAGTATGAGCACTGGTAAGAGAGGGCTCCCAGGTTTATCCTTGTCTGCTGCTTCTGCCATAAAGTCAGCGGTGTTCCTCTTAATGCCAGTTGGCTGCGGCCCTTCCCCCAGACATCATGCCATGTGGCTCATTGTCCGCATGCCATGTAAGCTTTGTGAAGACAGGAGCATCACTTTAACTGGTTATATGAGAATGCATGTTTGAAAGTGTAGGAATATAATGTCCTTACAGCAGGTAGGTACTACTTCCTCCTTTCTTTCACATTGAACCTTGCATGGGCTTGTTAATAGTTGAATGATATGTATATCAGTGTCTTTAATTAATATTAGGTAACATTTATTGAACAATTATTATATATCAGATGTAAGTACCATCTCAATAATTTTCACAAAGGTAGAAAAAACTCAGTTAATCAAAGCTTGGAAAGTTAAATATCTGGTCCACAGCGTCACAGCTGGTACGTGGCAGAATGAGATCTCTAACTCCTGACTCTCGCTCACCAGGCACTTAGCTTATGGCCACTACCCCACCTATGCGAGCTAAAGTGCATGGAATTTCCTGTTTGAAAAATGTTTGAAATACCTGTTTTGCATGAAGGTAAATTGGCAGGGTAAAAGCGCCCTGAAAGCATGTGCAGTGAGCCCTCAAATTGGTACAGTGGCGCTACCCAGGCCGTAGAGGCACCTCGGAAGTGCTTGGTGAGGCGGACAGGGTAGGCACTGCCACAGGCAGGATAGCGGGAGCAAATTACCTGAGTGTTGTTTGTCCCACATCAGCCACAGATGTGAACAAAATGACAAGAGGAAAATTTGCAAAAGCCTTTGTGAAAAAGTGTTGCAAATTCAATGGCTGCCAGCCAGGAAAATGTAGCATCCCTGGTTGTCACAAATGCATAGCAGAACAAAGACTCTCGGGCTGCAGGGAAAGATGATAGGGTTGGAAATGAAGAGCTTAGAAGGAAGCAAAAAGTAAAAATCTAGCCAAGGGTAAATGGAGATAAGAGGTCCTTGACGGTTTCGGGAAAACCTGTATCTAGTTCAAATGAGTACAGGTAGGAAAATGAGCCATTTGTAGGCCTGCAAAATAGGTTTCCCGCTATACCCCCTCAAGGAATTGAACCGGCTCCCTATTTAAATTCCGCTCATTCTTCGAGAGAAGGAAATGCATTCAAGGCTAACTGGGAAGGATGACCCTGTAATCTTTTATTTTTCTTATAGTACAATGAAACATTAAATAGTTTAGGTTAAAAAATACACCTTGAGTGGGCCTCCCCGGTGGCACAATGGTTGGGCGCTGGGCTGCCAAGCTGCTCACAGCCTCTGCAGCGCTGGTTTGATCCCCGGCCACCAGCGAGGGTCCCACATGGCGCGCAGACCTCTCCGCCGTACCTGCTTCACCCCTCACCAGTGTACTTCGTCAGTCTGCCTGTTCTGCTCCCTGCTCTGGGTCTGGTGAATTCTCTCACCCTCCTGCGTTTCTGACTGTACCCAGTGCTTGTATAAATAAATAAATAAATCTTTAAAAAAAAAAAAAAGAAAAAATACACCTTAACTTCATGCCAATTTCCAGGTGGGTACCCTGCAGTGCCGCTTAGAACTGCTCCCCTTGCCTGTCTGTGCTGTGGGCAGAGTGCAGTCTGGAGACAGAAGGTGGAGCCTGGCGGCATCTGGAGCTGGAGGTGGCGTAGTAGGGACAGAGGAAGGAGATGGACTTCTGCTCTACTTGAACTTTAGATCCTCAGTTTTAGCAACAGGCCAAGAAAAACTTTTTTTCACTTCATCATTTGCAGGATTGAACTGATGAAACCTGCCATCCCATTCAGTGTGTACTCTCTTGCTCATAGTGCGTCTCCAGTGCCTGGCACAGAGTCTGCCGAACAAATAGGTGCAGGTCAGAAATGATGCCCGTTGGGTGTGGATTTAGAATTCACAGAGGCAGTTTACTCTGTTTATTCTAAAGCAATTTGTGTCAAATATTTTTCCAAGAATACTAAATTCACCCCTATGTGACTGGAGAGATCCTGATGGTGAGTCAGATGGACAGACATTTTCCTTCCAACTGTCTCTCCCAAAGGGACAATTAGTCCACCTACCTCCCTGGAAACCTTGATTCTAATTTAAAAAAAAAGTCACACAAAGTGATGATTTAAATGTGTTATTTTAAGGATGCTGAGTAGCAGGAAGAAAATCTTTGAATATCATTTTTTTTGTTGGTCATCATTCCCCAGAAGGAAAGAAAATGACAGTGAAATTCACTAGTCTATGCTGAAAATGTTTGCAATTTTGCTAACTGCCGTTCTAATTTGAGCTCAGAGACACACACCTCTTTCAAAAAAGCCTTCTTTGGCACAAATTGCATATACTAGAGGGGTATATACTAGGATTAGTAGAAGAACAGAAAAGGCTTAATGAAGGCTCTGGTAGAACATAAGAGAGCAGGGCCATGGAGAGAAGGTATTGGGGAATTAGTGATTTCGAAGTAGAATCGGAAGTAGAGGAGGTGAGCAAAGCAGTTCAGTCAGTTCTTTCCAAAGTCCTTTAATGAAACTATTGTTCTTATTTCTTAGATTTTATGGTATTTCCAGTCTGTGAGAGTAATTGTGCTCCAAAATCAGTATTCTTTTTACTATACCAGCATTTTCTAAATTTTTTAGTTGCTGTTGGTCTTAAAGAAACATTTCAAAAATTCTAAAATTTGAGGTGGATGTATCATTGACGGCCATGTAACAATGCATAGTAATGAGCTTTTGGCCATTTCATCAGTATTAGATCATCATTGACTTAGAGGCTGAAATTATAAAATCTGCTAATTTGGATACGTTTCTTGTTTCATTTCTAAATGAAAGGATGAACAGGGAAGTATTAGGTTGCTATTAGCAATCATTTACCCATAAGTAAGACATTCCAGATGTTGGGAGCCTTCATTTCCATTAAGCAAAAAGTTAAGTCAGTATCATTATCACAGTACTTACACTTTTTAGTGTTTTCTTTATTACAGAGACTTCTGGCTGGCCTGCGTTAGAGCAAATATGTCTAATCTACAGATCTGAAGGGCAGCCTCAGAAGGCACATGTCTTCATCTGCTCAGGTTGCCATAACAACGTACCAGAGACTAGGGACAAGCAGCTTTGAGGCTGGAAGTCCAAGAACAAGGTGTCAGCTGTTTTGCTCCCAGGTACGATAAGGACCCACTTCCAGGTTTACAGATGGCTGCCTTCCTTCTGTCCTCTCACAGTGGACGCTAAATCTACCATGGGGACCCTTCCCTCATGACCGCATCTGAACATAAACACTTCCCAATGGCACCAAAGGGTCCCATCTCCAAGTAACATTATATTGAGCCTTAGGGCTTCATACGAATTTGGGGGTGGGAGGCAGAAGCCTTCAGTATAGTTTATATAGTTTAGCGGTTTGTTCCACGGCTGAACACTGGCAGCCCACCAGGACAGCTTCACCCCACTCTTCGGGACCTGCTCTGGCCCTCTCCCTACAAGGGACCTACAGGGCTAAGTGGACATGCACACTTGTCACAGACTGTTGGGGACCCCAGAACATCCTGCCTACTAGCAGCATCTGCTTCCAGGGAGCGTGAGGACTTTCCCCGGGAGATAGCTAAGGGGCAGCCGCTTGGATTCAGGAGAAGAATGGTTGGATGTTTTTAAGTGCTGGCTGGGACTCTTAGAAGCATGAATGGAGGGAGAACGGAGGATGGAAAAAGGTGGCACAGGGTGGCTTTCCCCATGCCTTGGTGTTCCAGCACTCATCTCTGAAAACTACACAATTTCCACATGCCAACCTTGGCTTCCAGGTCACGAAGAAGGTATTCTTGTGAAGGCAGGTGGAGAGATCACTTTCTATTTCCAATGTTTAGGTTGATGTATAACTTTATATATTTTTATATAAATACACCTTTTTACATGGTAACTAGGTAGACACTGGGTATGTGAGCCTCCACTGGACCGGTGGGGACTTGGCTCCATCCTGCATGTGTGTTAGCAGTGGGTCTGACGAGGACCAATGCTCCTCATTAATTTACATCTTAATACTAGTAATTTTTATGCATGTTCACTTTCAGTAATACTACAGATATAAATTAAGCACAGCTATAAACTGTGTACAGGGTGAGGCTGTCCTGGTGGGCTGGCAGTGTTCAGCATGGAATAAACCACTTAACTGAGTCCGGAGCATGCTCCCCAGAGCTCCGCCCAGCCATGAGGATGTTCGCTGCATGACAAGTGTCCCCACGTGCTCCACTTTGAAAGGAAAATAAAATGGAACTGTGATTCATTCCTGTCACTACCCCCTGCCAGGGCTGTCCCCTCACGTGCTTGTCTGGTGACCTGAGTCGGCATGCTTAGAAAGTACTGATGTTGCTGTGTGTGTATATTTTAAAGAATTTACACAAAGGGCACCACATCTCATTCTTTTTCTTGAATTAATATTTTTAAGCTCTCTCCACATTGTCGTCTGGGTTGTTTGTTGCTTCTCACTGCTGTATGTTGCCCACAGAACCTATCCATTGCCCAGCCATAGTGTCAAGGAGACTCCGGATCTAGTATTACAAGTAAAACACCTCCTTTTTTTTAAAAAAAATTATTTATTTATGCATACAAGAGCTGGAGTACAGGCCAGAGGTGTGGGGGTTGAGAGTACTCGCCAGAGACAGAGTGGGGAGCAGAACAGGCAGAGTGAAATACACTGCTGAGGGGAGGAGCAGGCGAGACAGGAGAGGTCTGCCGCGTCATGTGGGTAGCTCCTTGGCCGGGATCAAACTCATGCTGCAGTAGCTGCCGATAGCTGCACAGTCCTGTGCTTAACCCCTTGTGCCACCAGGTAGGCCCTTTCTTTAACCCTCCCCCCCCCACATTTATGCATGTAAGAGCTCGGGTACAGGGTGGCTCAGAGGAGTCACCAGTGAACACCTCCTATATGACCTGACCCACCTTGGTGAGAATGTCCTCCAGGTATATACTGAGGAAGGGTATTGCCATTAGGACTTCTGCTAGCTTCTGAAATGTTGCTGGATTGTTTTCTAGAACTTCTGTACCTGTTTGAACTTCTCTGAGCCACTTACATGTGTTTCTGTCTCTCCATATATTAACCAACACTTGTTATTAACTACTTCTCAAATATGGTCTTTCTGATGCATTTCATGGGTTTCATGTTATTATTTTAATGGAAAGGTCCCTCTTTTATTTCATATTGCTTTGCACTATTAGATTTTTTTTCCTTTTCCACATTTTTTGTTTGAGTTGTCTTTTTTTAGGTAGTCATTCATTTATTTCTTATATACTTGGCACATGAAAACAAGTTTTAGTATAATCTGATAACACGTAAAACAGGAAGTGCTGATAGTAGTAGGGCATTTGTGTTTATTTTACAAAAAGGCACTGAATTACAAATATGCCACTTTGGTTGTTCTTTATTGTTGACTTTCCCACCACCTCTTTCCTGTTCTGCTGCTTCTTCCCATTTGTTTTCTGAACATTATTTTAAGATATATCCACGTTATGTGGAAGTTTCCTAATATTTTTTGTCAGATTTTACTTGGGTTTTTAAGTATCACTTGAGTTGCCAGTACAAGATTCTGCAGCTTAATTCCATAAAGAAAACTGCAGTTGTTAAGAGAAAGTAGAATAGAGAGTAGAGGCAAAGTAATTCAGGGACTATTTTCCTCTGAAGAGAAAATATTTTTATGGCATAGGGGAAAAAAATGCATGTAGAACCCGGTCATTTACTTCTTACAGACGCTAACTGTGATGTCAGAGCAAGATCACTGAAGGCTACCACAACTAAGAGCTTCAAGTTTGCATTAGCATTAATGCAGCCCATTTGAGATAAGAAAGCCCCAGCATGTTCCCCGGAAAAGGTTTTGATGTTAAGTCAAAACACGCCTGGTTTTTCCTTTTTTATGTCCATGACATAGGCCTTGAATTTGGATACTAAATAGACATGACTTTCTTTTATGCCCCTGTCTCTTCAAATACTACTAAGCTAGTTGGCTGTCAAGCTGTATTTCCCCTAGTAGCCAGAGAGAGTTCTGAGGGTTGAGAAAGGGGATTTCAGAATCCTGAGGTAGTCACCATTTATGGGGGGCGGGGCATAATTTCAAAGCAACAACCCCCTTCTGGGAGTAAATAGGAATTTTTTAAAAATTTGATGTTGTACTGTTGGAATGAAATTTGTTTTTTGGGTGTTGACAGAGCAACTCAACCCGAAGAACAAAGTTCATCTGACTTGAAAGTACTGTTTTCATGTCTTTCTATCCTTTTGCAATGGAGACAAACCTATTTCGCTGGTAGCCTTTCTTGTGTCCAGAGATGGAATAATTTTCCCCATAAAGGTGCACCCAGAGTGCCACATGGAAAATGATGATCATAGGGTACGATTTGAAATCTCATCCCCATCGGTTCACGTGACTGGTATGACTAGCAGGACGTGATGTGTTTATTTTGTTATTGCTGAACTACAGTGCTCCACTTACAAATTCATTTCCCATTTCCACCAGTGTGATAACGCTGAGGGGTCAGCAAAAACTAAACGATGAAAAGCAGTTCTCTTAAATAGGTAAGAGTCCTAATTATAGATGCTGTCTTACTGGGGTGAGCATACTGTTGTGATTATCTTGGGAGAAGTCATTTGAATTAATATATTTTATTTATAACTAGTCTGAAGAACTTAACAGGCCATGCAGATTTCCATTTATGTGTTAATTTGCTACAGTAACATCAACTTGATTTTTTCTGCCTCTTGACTGTTCTCACCTAGAATTAATCATCTTGCCTATCACTAGCTGCGGAGAAAATAGGTATTTGCTGTAGGTTGATGCTGTTTCCTCTGTTCATTAAAAAACACTTCTGTAAACTAAAAAAAAGAGCCAAAAGAAGCAAAAGGGCAGTCACTGTACACTCATCTCAAATCCAGTCTGGATCATGTCTGTGAGTTTCAGTGACTGCTGTAAACAAAATGCACCATTGTGCTGGGTAAATCGTGGTGGAATAGAACTTTGTGGGTGTCTGGATGAGTTAGGTCGGGCCGGCCTCACAGTGTCTGAGGGTGCTATTCCGGAAAGAATCGCCTGACCCCCGAAAACTGCTGCACGTGACTTAACAATCAGGAGTGTATCAGAGGTGTCCTTGAGCGCAGTTTTAAGACTGAAAAGGGTGAACAGAGACACTGCGTTAGGATCAGAGTGGACGCCAGGCAAACTTCTGCCTGGAGCTGACAAGGGCCCTTTGCCAGCATGGCCTCACATGCTAACTAGTTTCTTTTGCTTCTTGCCAAGAGTTGATGCAAAGGTGTTGGAAATGGAGTGGGACCTCAGGGTTTTCAAGGCTGGGACTCATGCCTTGGCTCCCTTCCAATCTGCTGTTTTCTTCTAAAAAAAATGAATCCTCTATCTCATGGTGTATGATGAAGGGTGATAAGTGTTATTAATTCCATAAAAGTATTCCCTGTTAGTAAAGTTTTCTCTTGGAAATGGTAGCAGTTTCAGCTCGACATCACAGAGAGCTCCTCATTCTCAGGGTGTACCATAAGCATCCCCGAGCCCCTTATTAGTGTTTTGACCTATCCGGTTTGGTGTCTGACAGCTTCGAGAACCCTCCCGTTACTGCTCCAGCTGAGGCTCTGAGTTGTCATGTTTTACAACACAGTTCCTGCCCCACATTAACTAGTGTGTGTTGTTATCTATCCACAACTGCTAAGACATTCTTTTTGTTTAAAAAATGTAGTGAGGGATATACATTTATGGACAAAATTCTAGGCACACAGAAGCATTGTCCCTATTTTGATCAGCTATAAATCTGAGGCCCAGCTGATGTTCCTACATCCCCGGGGGCACACCCGGAGTTGTTAAAATACTGCGTGATTTTAGAAAAGCAGTAGTGAAAAATCTGTATCTTCTTCGATTGTTTGCTTTTGAAAGAACGAATATTGTGGTAACGCATATTTCCAGTTTTGGGAAGTGACTATTCCTTTGGCTGACTGATATGACAGGCGTAGTTACTAGCAGGTAGAATTCTCGAAATACTGCCTTTCCTGGGTAAATGGGACTGTATACACCAAACCCTGCATTCAGTGACTGCCTGGCACGCCTTGGTCCCTCTCCACTCAGGCTGGGGGCCTGCGCCAGCAGCCCCACCCGGGAGCGTGTTAAAAACATGGCCTCACAGG